GCCTAGCATCACAGTAGGCGTTGAGATTAACATTTGCGGTAATCGCCCAAATGGATGGGCGAACAAACTTTCAGACCTCTTCGAAACCTTACGACACAACCGTACCTATTCACATTTTTAAACAAATACCATGAGCTTTCTAGTTGTGAAAAGCTCTTCAGCACAAGCTTAAGCTTCTGCGATTTTTTGAGAGAAGACCCTTTTTGGGTGATAGGAGCTAGTGATTCCTTGCTTTCAATGACCTTAATCATATGGAAGGGCCCTTTTCAAAACTTCCCAGGAGACATTTGTTATGGAAAATACAATTGGGTGAAAGCATCCTTCCTTTTGTTCGCTAGTCCTTTATTGATCCGTAGCCACAAAAAGGGCAATCTTCAATATGTTGCCACTTAGCTTGTATGAGCAGCCACTTAATAAAAAAGCCCTATCACTTAAAGTGGTTATTGTGACATCCAAAAAAAAACTCTGAGCCACGTTTCAATTTTCCGATATGTTCGGGGTACCAACGAAGGTGAGCCATAAATAAGAATGAGAGGGGAAACTTTCACTTACAGAATTGTCTTGCTTTTACCCTTTTCCTCTCAGCCTACGCCTACTTCTCGATTGATTTATTTTATGTTGTTGTACTGGGTTACTTATTGTCTCTCAAGTAAGCGCTATTAACTGGGATCTTTGTGTGGTGCACTTTTTGCGCCTCTGCTGTAGCGTTTGCCTAGCTTACCACTACACGAGGTGTTGGTATTCCTATGTTCCGAAGTTTCCGTAAGTTCCTATGACCCTGTAAGTGACGAGCGGGAATCATACTATGGGGTGGTGGGTTTCTGGATGCATTCTCAGTGCTCACATGAGCTCATGCTGTGTGCTTTGTATTGGTTACCAATCCTATCCTTTTGGTATAAACTTGTTCAAAGTCCATTGTGCACAATTCCTCTCTTCGTCTTCGGACTTGAAGGCACAGTTCACGATAAAAATGGTTTCTGAGATTTCCCCATAGGATGAATTCGAGGTCCCCTTGTATACCATATCTGGCGCTGTTAGGTCGGAAAACGACCTAGTTAGGGAATTATAAAGGCTCAAAATATTGCCCCGTGTGTATCCTCGGATGACTTTCACCGGCATTGTAGAGGCTGCACTGAACACAAAGGAACCCACCTAGGAAGTTCAAACAACTTGTTATGACCCTTAGCGACAAAAGAAGGTAATTCTGGGCAATGTCGGTTGATGTAGTCAGCTCTTTGTACAGTTGCAACAACTGAAATCTCGTCCGAATACCCCTTTCATGTTACTTCCGTCATGGTAATTTCGCCCCACCTCTGTTTTCCCTTCTTTTAAAGAGCCATATTTTCTTGAAGTCGGCAAATTCTCTCGCTTTTTTCACCATTGGTGGATGCACTACTCCTATACAACACTTCCGCTTTTCGACTTGAAAAGGGTACCGCAAAATTATCGTCTCTTCCCCTCTTCTGATTCTACAGTTGTTTTGTTTGAGTACTATTTTATTGTTTTTTTTTTATGTTTCTTTTTTAATTATGCTTAGTCTTTCCCTTTTTCTTTCTTATATAATGCATACTTTTCTTCAAGATGAACAACTGAATTGAAGTGGCACATTTTTCTTTTTTTCCTTTTTCGATGAAGGTTCCGTTCATAGTTTTGACTCCATTGAAACGTATTTCCCACTGATATCATGAATTCACAGAGCTGTAGAGCATTCTTTGAGCATAATAAATGAAACGAATAAAATCGCTAGTCATCCATTTCATTTCTTTTCACCTTTTTCTAAGCACTCATCTTGAAGTCATAATGGAATTGGGTCAAACATGGTGCCACACCCATGAATCAGTTTCCAAAACATGTCCTTCCCTATTCCTAATAGTCTCAAAAAGGTTCGAACTAGGCTAAGCAGAGGTAATGAAGAGGGTACATGCAGAAAAAACGCAAAAAGCCTCTGAATAGATCTACATATATCGAACCATTATTCATCAAATCGACCCATCAACACTTTACAATCACGACCTCCCTTTTTCCCAAATAGACAGATACCATTTCTCTCTTGTTAACTCCCAGATACAAGACCAGTTTAAAATGGGTTATAGCGGAATCCTTTCTCAGCACTGTAATTCATCAGTGGCCTTTATGGTTGCTAGGGACAGGAAGGCTAGGATCAGGGATTTAACGTCGATAATTCTAGCTTATGAAATGGAAGTTAAATCTGGCTAGTGAAAACTAGAGGAGACAGATAATGATTACGATTTCCTTATCTAAACCATCTAGTAGCAAAGGAAAACGACCTCCGAATCAGCATAGTCCACTGAAGCAGTACTGGTAGGCCCCCTTCGAATGTTGGGTTACAGCGGCGTGGAATAGCACTGTTGAAGGCACAGTTCACGATAAAAAACGGGTTCTGAGTTATTCCCCTAGAAATACTCAGCGGTCCCCAAGGGTAGCAGCAGGAAGGAAGCTGTCGACTCCCAAAACTCAATAGCTAGGGCATAGTGGGAGCCCCATTACCGGATCGCCCAGACTTCCTGCCCCTCGATCGATGTCACATCAGGCGAGTGTCGAGGGATACAGACTGCAATATTCGTTCTAGGCCCCACACACAATCACCTCATCGCTGAGTAATGAGGCGATGTTTTCTCCCATTCTTTTATTCTCTGTTATTCTTTTCGCTGCTGCGATTCCCACCTTATTTCTACCTTAAAAGGCTGAAAAAGGTGGGCTATTTTTGCTGTTACTAGAGTTTTTTGTTTACTTATGCTTACAGGAGAATGGATTTTTGCTTACCGCAGTCAGCTATTCGCACCAGGACCCACACCTACGCAACGACACACATTGTATAGCTTACGCGAACGCCCACTCATCTTCATTTCCTGGTCACAAGCTCGTCCAGCCCCCTTTCTAACGATTTTTCGAAGCCTTATTTCACTTTGGAATTACCGAGTTACGCACTTTCTTTGCCTTCATCCTTTATTATCCACCTTATCTTCCATTTTTCGTCATTATCTGGATTACCCCAAATTATCGTGTAGTGTGCCTTTAAGACTCAAGAAATTATTTGCTCAAATGTGTCCGTCTTTTTTCTTTTTTTTTCCTTTTCCATTCGATCTAAATGAATAAAGCAACGAGTTTGGATGATCGAATCGATAAGGGCAATCGAACGCACAACACAAGCTCGTTCGGGGACCTATGAATAACATAATTAAAAGTGCAAAAGCTGGTGGACAGCTATATCAAGAAATTGGGTTGTGAATCGGGTAACTATGCGGATGGGAACGCACTGATACCAGTTGCCATTTCGACTATGCCAGCAATCATTCCTCACGATTTTAAAGCATTACGATACAAAATTTTGTTGATATCCAATTAGATATTAGCCTAAAGGACCATTCATAAGAAACGCCAAATTTCCCAAGAAAAAAGCCAATATGTGCGTATCGATTAATTGACGCCGCCCACTGGATGCTCCTTGAGGCTTGCGAATGAAAACAAGTATTGGATATGGCTCAACTTCCGTTTTCCCTATTTCTATATCCCTTCACAGCTTGTCAGATTTATCAGCACAATGTAGAGGACTATTTTCTGGGGATGATAGCCTACAGCCATTGCCAGTTAAAGAATCCTGTCGGACGCGTAAATGCTACGTGGGCAGGCTCTTGCCTCTTATGGCTTTTACCTTTTGACCCTGTAAATCATCTTCTGTATCAACAAACTTCATATTTAACAGGATCTGACCACTGACTTTGGATCAATTTCAGCAACCGATTATTTACCCAGCTGCCAGCAAATCAATGCAGTCCCTTTTCGGGATCTAACCTTTATGTATACGAGAAACAAATCGTACCTTCTCCAAAAAAAGGAGCAGATCTTGGCCACGAGCACCAACACTCGTAGGATACACCGTAAAAAGTAGTTTTGTACGATATACTCCAGTACTGTAACAACAGCAAAAGTTATCCGGGCGAGTTCACAGTGACCCTCGCACTATCTAGGCAATTATAGGGCTTGTAATTAGCGATACGATATTGTGCAGTGCTCTAATTAGCAATTAGACACCATATTAAAACAACTGAACTTTTGTTTCAATAATATTTATTAACATAGCAAATACGATCTGATATATATACTATCGACTTTCTATACAGTTATCAACTTCAACACGTTATTTAGGTAATTACATGAGAAACTCGAGAGGACAACAAAAATAAACATTCACTGGGAGACTTCTTTCACATTTTGGACCCTTCTTGTGCTACAGTGTAAAAAAAAACTATCGATTTTGCGCTTACCTAATCAACAACCACTTAGAAAATGCACAGTAGGGGACGAATTGTGAAATTGCTCTTGACATCTAAGGAATTAAATCCAAAATCGAGGAGATACACGATCTCTTTTGACTATTCCACTATTTGGAGAGCTTTTTCAAAGACAATATGGAACCGGTATTACCCGCACTAAAGCAGAATGAGAGCGAAGAACGGAGTGCAAGTGTTGAGACTCTGAGTATCTAATTTCAATCACAATCGGACACCACACAAAATCAGACGTGCACAGAGGTCAAAGATACAGTAAAAGACCGACTACTGAGCGCTTCGGGGGTCAGAGAAAGTCTTGATCTGCTACAAATCTGGAACACCGCCAAAAGTAAATGGTGACCTTACTGTGGACAAAACAACGATATCAAAACAGTCATGGTTAATCAACGTAATTAAGTCTTCGTAACTGACTATGTATAGTAGATTCCAAATGAGCTACTCGCTACTCGTGATCGCGCGTACTAACACCTATAGATAACTAACAACCCAAATAGAGAGTTATGAGTTCACGAAAAAGAGCTTTTAATGCTCGCACAACACAAACCACCAAAATCATCTGAACAACATCGACTTCCCAGAGTCCAGCTGCAGTTGATGCGTAAACTCCAGTAGCGCGTCACACAACCGCGACGTCTATAGATGCGTTGCGGCATCTGCGAGAACTACACTCGCAAAATCTACATACGTTTAAGTAGACACCGACTTCGAGTTAGGAAAATGGATATCAACTGTAGGTTCCTTTGTAATTTTGCCGTTATGTGGTAACGATTTTGTGTCCAAAAGCGCACCACCAGTGGAGACGTCGCCTATACCCACACCAACCGGCGCAGCGGTATTCTTTGTGACGTCTGCTCGTCCACTTGACAGAACCGCCTGCAACGTGCGGCCGAGCGACTGTTTATTCAGCGTTGCCATACGTCGAAAATCCATGGGTCCTGTCACCGTAGTCGCGTTTGTGAAAGTAGGCGCCGGTGGCAGAACAGGATCAGGCTGCTGCAATACACAATTATTACAAGAACACTNCTAGGAGATTCGGAATTACGATAATCTCTGACGTGTTTCACTAAGACTTATTTCGATTTAACCACAACTAATTCTAGAACAGTGTTTGAACTCAGCAAGAGGAAATAATCCTGATCAATCTAACATCATGGGGGTTAAAAAACACTGAATGTTTTCGAGCAAATTGAATATTCACATAGTTCAGCTTCTCATACATAAAAAGGTTAGCCTAGTCTAAAAGGCAATCTCTTCTGATTGTTATTCAACTTCCACCAAGTTAGTTTTCCCTCTAGTTTCTGATCATTTACTTTTCCTTCAGGCTTCGAAGACACGATACAAGAGACGATTTCTGATAGGAAAAAGAAATGCAGAAAGGATTAGCTATCAAATGGTAAAAAATAATCAAGCCTTACTCACCGTAATGGAGGCATTCACCATTCTTACAGCAGCAGATGCCATATCCATCCTCAGATCTAATGTAGTTGGAGCCGAAGCTGGTGATATTTCTTCCAGTTTGCGTGGGAGAATTGGCATCGATCGAACATCACCGCTCAGCGGTGGTGGTAAAACCGTTTGCATGGGTCGTAGCTGATCAGGTGCGATCGGTAGCGCTGGTGTGTTATTTGGCTTCGTTTTAGGCGGTCCACTGTTAACAAAGCCATTCTGTGATGAATTCACTCTTGGTGACTGAATCTTTTCTGGGGGCTGTTGTCTCGGAGGACCTGCCAACACTTCATGATTGGGTGGAGGCTCTGAACTTTTAGCAGCACCGTTAATATAAGGAGGATATGATGATGTTGGTTGAGGTTCATAAATTGAAGTTTCCACTTTATGAATTGGACGTGACTCCACTGACTTTGGCGGAGCTTCAGGGAGTGGTGGAGGTTTCGGTTTTGTAAACTTCTCTACCTTTGGAGCCTTATGAGGACCTTCATTAGGTTGAGAACTCGGATGTGGCTGTGATAATCCCACATTTCTCGGTAATGGTGGAGGTGGAGGTTGTGATGGCGGAAGTGGTACGACCTGGTGACTGGGCTCCAATCGTGGAGGCACTGCCTGCGGCACTGCTTGAGGGATTTGAGGGTTCAGACTCCTCTGAATGTTATTAAATGAAGAAGATGATGGTTCCATTGTTGGAGGCGGAACAACCGAGACCACAGGATCCTCTCGTTGCAGTTGTGGAGGCTGGTCGACGCTGTTATCCCTATTGACGGGAGTACACTGCCTCGTTGATGAACTCTCCATAGGGTTTGCATTCTGAAAGTGGGATCAATTAAGTAGTATTAGACCTTTTCGCGATTTTGACAGGCACAATGAACTGTTCATATCGCTTTTCCAAACATTATGTAAAAAAATAAAAGGAAAACATATATGTAGAGGCTAAGCTAGATGAAGCAATATTCATCTTCAATTGTTGGTTTTGAGTGACCATTATTTCCTTGTCTTTTCAAAAATAGGGTCAGCGCAGTAATGAATCATCAAAAGGTATGACTAAAGGATATCACAGAGCTGATTCAAATTCAGCAAGGGCCCTGCTCGTCTCGGTGAGGATGCCGAACGCGCTGGATGAGGAACGAAAATTTGTAAAACAAAACCATCCTTCCCAATGATTAAGCGGAGCCACTGTTCGAAAGAATCTAGGGAAAGGGTAAGGCAGGCCGACGACGAGGAAAACAAGAGCCCTACAATAGTTGANATATATTTTATTGAAGAAGAAATGTGTAAATGGCCTGGAACCATCGCAAAAGGCCGAGGCACATATTGTGATAATAAAAATAGTTGAGCGAAAACACACCTGTGCTGGTTGAGGGTACGGCATCGAAATATGCATATTAGGAGGCGAACGGTGAATAAACGGTGGCTGTGCGATGAACATCGGCCGAATGAGGGGACCTACGAGCATATTCGGCGCCAATGGTGTTGGATGAGCCACTGCTGCTGGCGACTTCTCAGTGGGACTTTTCTTTGGATCGCTCAGTTTTCGGCGTTTACGCGGAGCGCTTTGTGGAGTTATAATTGGAGCCGAATGACCATAGATATCCGTAGAAAGGCTGACGGTTAGCGCTGGAACTACTGGAGAGACGAGCTGGACAGGTTGAAGTTGACCGGGTGGTTGAAGCGTTGACGGGGCTTCTTGATGAACGGGCGCCTCCGGCATGAGACAGGGCATTGTTTCCGCGTCTAGAACTGGTGGCGCATCATCATTCACGGTCGGAATAAGAGTGAAGAACAAGCGAAAGGGTCTCGTTCGATCGAAGCCACCTTCCAACACTAATGTACGCAGAGTAACATCATCGGGGATGTCCTAAATGATAAAATAGAGTACCATGACAATTAAGAGAAAAAATGAAACACCTACCTGGAAATCCCTATCAGAAATAAAATGAACGCTGAATTGATCTGTGAGGAATAGTTTTGTCTCGAGTAGGCGGCGCACAATACGAATCGGCACCTTCGCAGCGCATCGGAAAAAGCGTCGAAATGACTGCTGAACTTCACGATATTCGCGCATCTGCAATGGATGTGCTGATCAGGGTAAACTATACACCTCCAGAAAGAAATAAAACAGCGGCTGAGAGCTGCTTTTCTTTTTGAAACATGAGCATTCTTCCATACCAATTCCTGTGTTATATCATGGTTCCTGAGCATTCTTTTACTGCTTTTCACATTCGCCAAAGCATAAACACAAAGAATGGAAGAGATCTTCCAAACAAAATGCCATCTCAGTGATCAAAATGAGTTGGAAATGAAAAAAAAAAAGCTTCCAAGTTACAAGAGCTCGAAAGAAGAAGCAAAACAAAGATTTAGCAAAGACGCATAACATCGCAATCTTTTCCAATCAGGTCATCCCACGCAAATCTTGTCAAACAGCGTAGAAACCACTGAGTTGAACATTAAGACTATTTGCAGCACAGTCTCAAGAAATGTATAAGCTGCTTTTCGACCACTTATTGTAACCATCACAAAAATAATCGCTTTATTACTGTAGAC